AATTGATGCTTTTGAACTGTGTTGTTGGAGAAGACTCTTGAGAGTCCCTTGGACTGCAAGGAGATCCAACCAGTCCATCCTAAAGGAGATCAGTCCTGGGTGTTCATTGGAAGGACTGATGCTGAAGCTGAAACTCCAGTACTTTGGCCATCTCATGCAAAGAGTTGACTCATTGGAAAAGACCCTGATGCTGGGAGGGATTGAGGGCAGGAGGAGAACGGGACGACAGAGGATGAGATGGCTGGATGGCATCACCGACTCGATGGACATGGGTTTGAGTAAACTCTGAAAGTTGGTGATGGACAGGGAGGCCTGGCGTGTTGAGATTCATGGGGTCGCAAAGAGTAGGACACGACTGAGCGACTGAACTGAATAACCGATAAGCCTCTGGTTACATTCTGATAGATACAGAAAAAATTTATGACCTGTCCAGAGGCGGGGCTGACTAGAGTATGTTTTCTCTTAGGCGATGAGTAACCTGGATATGATCTTCAAGCTTCCCCTGTCCAGAAGGGTCTTATCCTTCTGTTGTAGTTTCCACAAGCAGTAAGCACAGAGTCCACTGGAGGCGGCTGAGCACGATCGGCGCGAACAGGCCTCAGAGGGAGTCCAGGCCCTGTGAATCCCTTCTTCACAGCGACCCCATGGACTGCAGCACGCCAGGCCTCCCTGTCCATCACCATCTCCCGGAGTTTACTCAAACCCATGTCCATTGAGTCGGTGATACCATCCAACCATCTCATCCTCTGTCATCCCCTTCTCCTCCTGTCTTCAATCTTTCCCAGCATCAGGGTCTTTTCAAATGAGTCAGTTCTTCACGTAAGGTGGCCAAAGTATTGGATCTTCAGCTTCAGCATCAGTCCTTCCAATGAATATTCAGGACTGATTTCCTTTAGGAAGGACTGGTTGGATCTCCTTGCAGTCCAAGGGACTCTCAAGAGTCTTCTCCAACACCACAGTTCAAAAGCATCAGTTCTTCCGTGCTCAGCTTTCTTTCTTTTTTTTTAAAGTCTTTATTGAACTTGTTACAATATTGCTTCTTCTTTATGTTTTGGTTTTTTGACTGTGAGGCATGTGGGATCTTAGTTCCCTGACCAGGGATCGAACTCACATCGCCTGAATTGGGAGGTGAAGTCTTAATAACTGGACCACCTGGGAAGTCCCTCAGCTTTCTTTATAGTTCAACTCTCCCATCCATACATGACTACAGGAAAAACCATAACCTTGACCAGATGGACCTTTAATTGGCAAAGTAATGTCTCTGCTTTTTAATATGCTATTTAGCTGGTCAGAACTTTTCTTCCAAGGAGTGAGTGTCCTTTTATTTCATGGCTGCCGTCACCATCTGCACCTTCACTTGGGTGGGGCCTTAGTTCCGGTAGAACTCAAAGGTAATTATTATGTATATTCCCTGAGGAGGAACCAGGACCTTGCTCGTCCAGCACTGTAGTTTCTTGATTGTTCCTCCTTTGTTTTTGCATTCCCTATTTCCTTGTTTGAATCTGTCCTTTGGTACTAAGGGAAGATCAAGATGCTGAAGACTTTATCCTACAAATAAGAAACAAGGGACCTGATGAACTATACTCCAATAAAATAAAATAATTAAAAATTAAAAAGAAAAGAAAGAAATGGGGGACCCAAAAAGGCTTTTGTGCTCAGGAGGATTCCACAGGGTCCTGCTCAGCTTCCACAACACTTCTGCAAGGCAAGAGTCACTCAAAATAAACCTGGTCCCCTCTCCAAGTCGGGCTTCCCTGGTGGCTTAGGTGGTAAAGAATCTGCCTGCAATGCAGGAGACCCGGGTTCGATCCCTAGGTTGGGAAGATCCCCTGGAGAAGGAAATGGCAACCCACTCCAGTATTCTTGCCTGGATAATTTTATGGACAGAGGAGCCCAGCAGACTACAGTCCATGGGCTCGCAAAAAGTCGGACATGACTGAGCAACTAACACTTTCATGTCTAAGTCAGAAGAGCTCCCCTCTTAGACAGAACTAGGGGGCAGGTGCAGTACAGTGCACTGACCTTAGAGATACAACTCCAGGGTGCAAGTCTTCACTCAGACGCTGGCAACAAAAGTGTGAACAAGTCGTGAAATCTCTCCCCGGCTGGGTCTTCAGAACTGCAAAGCGGTACATTATGAGAGTTGAGTAGAATTAAGGAGTACAATGTATGTGAAAGCCCTTGGTAAACAATGGGGTGTTTTTACTCCATGTACCTGCACGCGCTACAATATCTTGCTGATTACTCTTGTCCAGGAAATCACAGCATCTGGTTTACAGCTATTTCTGCTAAGGGGAAGCACACTGGCTGAAACCACCCACTCTAACCAGGCACCATAGTAATGTGCATGAGTTATTTTAAGATACGTCCTAGAAAGGAACGGGAAACTAATAAGCCCCCACCAACCAGAAGAGTTCCACAAAGGTCAAAGGAGACACTACGTGCCCTACCACCTCCCAGAATCCTTCGCTCCGGCAGCCATCTTGGCTGAGCAAAGCCTGCGCCAATAGGAAGGACTCTGAGTCAGAATGCTTGGCCAAAGACAACCGGAAACTCACCCCGTTACCAAAAAATCAAGGCTGCAAGCTGAGCGACTGTGAGTTGAGCTGCCAGGCAGAGCAGATCTTCTGGGTTCCCTTATCCTACTGCTCTCTGCCTGGGCGCCCCCTCCCAGTAAAATCTCTTGCTTTGTCAGCATGTACTGTCTCCTCTGACAATTCATTTCCAAGTGTTAGACAAGAACCCATTTTAGGGCCCTGGAAGGAGCCCCCTTCCTGCAACGCTGGTAGGAAAGTTATCTGCAAGAGCCACTCCAGAACTCCCTCCAGCAGGGTTTCTCTTTTTTGCTGGCTGCTGAGAAACTCTGAGCTGACGTTGGGACTCAGCTACACCAAGGCTGTAGATCTCTCTGGTAGTAGATCTCTTTCCAAACTTTTTGGGTTTCACTGATTGTCTGGGTTTGTTTGATTTTCTGCCTGAAGTTCCTTTTCGGAACTTATATGGACAGAAAATCGGTCATTTTGCAATGGCATTATTAATGCCATTGTTTTGTCTTAGTTTAAAACAACGTTATGTTCGTGATTTAAATACTGGATCATACTAAAATACAATACAATCACACTTGAGGTGACACCACAGGGAGCCTCTCAGCACCGCACCAGGCTGAAAAGGGATGGGCAAATGCTAATTTCACCTGAAATCCACCAGACTCTTCCAGACACAGGCGTTAAGTGGCTGTACAAGAGTGTGAGAGGGACTTGACCAACTGCCGCTTTCCTCCCCCGATCTTTCGCCAGAACAGTTCCGGTGGGGCGGGGGTGTGGAGTGCGGAGCGCGGTGGAGGTGGGGCAAGACAGATCACGAACTCTATTGTGAGCTGCGTCGGAGGTTGTGAGGCTCGCGGACGACTGGATGGCTACCGTTTCAACAGGGCGGAAAGTGAGAGGCCGCGGGTCGTAGGGAGGCTAGAGACGGCCGCGGGGATTTTATTCTTTCTGGTGGAGAGGGAGCTCCGTTTACCCACCGAGAAGAAGTGTCACAGAGATTGGGAGAGACGCGATGCAAGGATGGGCTCCGGCAGCCAGAGGCAGGTGATCTTGGCAGGAGAAGGGAAATGCGGGTGCCATGGGAAAAAACGTTGAGTCCACGCGGTTCTCCACGGAGAGGCTTTTTTTTTTTTTAAATCAACTCGGGCCAACAAGATGAAGTCTGGCCGGCTTGGGGGCTCTGCGTCCAAGGGACGGGCTTCCGAGTCACCCAGAGTTCGTTCAAATCCCAGCTCTTCCACTCAACTGATCACCCTACTTCGCCTCAGCTTCCCCGTCCTAAAAGTGGGGCTAATAACTGCACTGGTCTCAGGGCTGTTGTGACGAATAAATGGTACCACATAAATAAAGCGTTTGTGCCTAGTATCTACCATAGGCAGGGACTAGGTCATTACTGTCATCTCGGGAATTCCTTGGTGGTCCAGTGGTTAGGCGGAGAAGGCAATGGCATTCCACTCCAGTACTGTTTTGCCTGGAAAATCCCATGGACAGAGCAGCCTGGTAGGCTTCAGTCCATGGGGTCGCTATGAGTTGGGCACGACTGAGCGACTTTACTTTCACTTTCGTTCATTGGAGAAGGAAATGGCAGCCCACTTCAGTGTTCTTGCCTGGAGAATCCCAGGGACTGGGGAGCCTGGTGGGCTGCCGTCTATGGGGTCACACAGAGTCGGACACGACTGAAGTGATTTAGCAGCAGCAGCAGCCAGTGGTTAGGACTTTGGAGTTTCCGTTGGAAGGGACATCGAGTTTCATCCCTGATCGGGGATCTAAGATCCTAAAAGGTTCAGTTGTCTCCCAAAGACCACAAAGATGCTGGGGCGCACTGGCGCCAAGCCGTGCTCTGGACAAGACCCGAGAGATGGGCGGGGGTTGGTAGTGAAGTGGGCGGGTTCGACCCAAGCTCTCGCGGCTTCCTCTACCCCGGGTTGGTGCCTAGGGCTAGACAATCGGCTGGGAGGCTTCCCGGCTCCACCAGCCCAGGGCGTCCGAGGCGGCGGGATTCGTGATGACTTCGTTCTGGTGAGTGTCTCTGGAGCAGAGGTCAGTCTTGGCCAGCCAGACGCGCCTTCGTGGAGTGGCCAAGTGCCGGGTCCGCGGATGCCAGGGTCAAGGGAGGGGGCAGCCGGCCTCTAAATTAAGTCCAGTCCGCCCCCTACCTAGGTGGGGCAGCTAGGAGACAGTGCCTGGGGACGCCGATGAGAACCCTTGCTTGTTCGTGACCGCTGTGCTCCGGGAAACACTGGTTTTGAGGTGGAAATGGAAAATTTGACGTGGAGGTTGCTTCTCGAGCCTGGAGTGCGTTAGCACGGTGTTGCCGAGCGTGCGGGGCGGCCTGGAACCCGGAGGCTCTGAACAGGGCTGGAGGTGTGGGTCCCCGGGGTGTGGGACCCCGGCGAGGCAACTGCCGGCTCTGGGCAGTCGGAAAGTGCGGCTGCGTCCCTTACGCAGCTTCAGAAGACAGCCTGGGGTTTAGGAGTCAGATTTTGAAAAGTCGGTTCTCAGGTCCAGGCGACAGTCTCGAGGCAGTAGTAAATGTTTGTTTTGTGGTTCTGGAACTAAATCCTCTAAGAACTAGCGTAATAATTAACAGGGGAAAAATAGACTTGGAGGGCTCATTAAGTTTTTATAAACCAGGAAGAAGGGTCAGAAATACAATTTGTGCCTTTTTATCCCCAAAGTTTACTTTCTTTGTGTTTTTCTAAACTAAAACGATCATTTAATGCTAACAAGGAAGGCGTCTCCCAGCGATGCAAAAACGTGTTGGTGGGATGATGTTTTCTGGGCATTAACATGAAGCGCAGTTTGTAAGGGCTTCCCTGGTGGCTCCGATGGTAAAGGATCCGCTCGCAGTGCGGGAGACCCAGGTTCGATCTCTGGGTGTGGAAGATCCCCTGGAGAAGGGAATGGCTACCCACTCCAGTGTTCTTGCCTGGGGAATCCCATGGACAGAGGAGCCTCGTCCATGGGGGTCACAAGAAGTCGGACACCACTGAGTGACTAACACTTTCACTTTCACTTTTGTGGCTGAGCGAGGGAAGGAGGTAGCCCTTTTGTCGCAGAAAGACCTCTCCCCTTCCTTAGCCAGAGACTTCCCTCATCCCACATTCCTTGATGAGTGAGTAAGAACCCTGCCCCAGGCTCCCAACTGGTGCCAAGGAATTTAAAGCTGGCAAGTCCTCAACAAACTTGACTTTCCGTTCACATATGGACCGCTGGAATTGTGAACAAAAGGTCTGGGTTTTGCCTGATATTTTTGCTATGTTTATATCTCTGTGATAGTAAGGCTGCTGACTTGTGTGGCCTTGGGGAACTAAAAAGAAACTTTCCTTTAACCTTTTTTTTTTTTGCCTTTTTAGTCTTCTTTTTTATTAAAAAAAATACCTGACTCTGAAATAGATATTTCTGATTTTTGTCCTTCTGTGATAGGATAGTTCACTCCAACACACCCTGCCTACCGAAAAAACAATCACTATAGTAGCATGCAGTAAAACTCAGTAAATGTTCACTGTGGAGCACTTATTTGTTATGAATAGGCCCTGCTCTAGATTGTACCACTAGAGTTCATCTCAGCACTCTTTGAAGTGTCATGTCCAAGCTACAGTTGTGGAAATGGAGAATAAAGGTTGTCCAAGGGCTACATTGAAAGCAGCAGGTTGGAATCTAACTCTGAGGATAGTACTTTTTTGATTGTGTGGGCCATTTTATTCATAGCATTTAATTCCATAAAAGTTTGATAATCCTACCATGTGAGAGGCGTTATACCAGGTATGGGGAATACAACTGTCCTGACCTCTTGGAGAAGTTATGACTCTAGCATATTTGACATCATCAGTTGATCATTTTTTAATACCCTTCTCTACAGGACAGAATTATCTTCAGTAATCATATATTATACCAATGATAATTACCATTGTCTTGCCTTCTTTTCATTTGCAGACAATTAAAAATAAACTGCAATTTTTAAAGATACTCTAATTGGGTAAAATAGTTTATATATGAATTAATTCATAAGTGGTAAATTCATACCAAACAAAATATACTTGGCAGTTTGCACTGTTTTTACTATTTTAAATTTTAAACACAAATGAAAAACTCAAGTGGTCACCACTAAAGATAGAAGTAACCAGATGTTTGGTTTCGTCTTTAAAATCATTGTGCTATTAGTGTCTATTTTATGTCTGTTGCTTAAATGGAGAAATGGGGCTTGAGCAATTCTGAATACTTATTCTGATTGCACATTTACTCCTGAAAGGAATCTATGTAGCTGAACCAGGTATGTGTTGGGAATCAGCTGTGCCTGTGAGTTCTTCAGACTAACTTGCATATAGAATATAACTTTTATTAAAGGATAAGTAATGTGCTAATTTGAAGCTCATCTGTATTATTATTGTATTAAAATTTTTATTGAGATATAGTTGATGTACAATGAGTTTCAAGTGTGCACCATTTTGTTGTTCAGTTCCTCAGCGGTGTCTGACTCTTTCCCACCCCAGGGACGCAGCACGCCAGGCGTCCCTGTCGTTCACCACCTCCCAGAGTTTGCTGGACTCATGTCCATTGAGTCGGTGATGCCATCCAACCATCTCATCCTCTGTCATCCGCTTCTCCTCCTGCCTTCAATCTTTCCCAGCATCAGGGTCTTTTCTGTAGTGACTGATGAATTTTAAAGGTTATATTCCATTTATATTTATTATAAAATATTGGCTATATTCCCTGTATTGTACTATGCTGCTGATGCTGCTTCAGTCGTGTCCGACTAGGTGCGACCCCATAGATGGCAGCCCACCAGGCTCCTCCATCCCTGGGATTCTCCAGGCAAGAATACTGGAGTGGGTTGCCATTTCCTTCTCCAATATTGTACTATAAGTCCTTATAAAAGCTCATCTATATTATCAAGAACCATAGTAATTGCTTAGAACTTAGATCAGCAGTTCTTGGTCTTTTTGGTCTCAGGACCCTTTTAACTCTTAGAAATTATGGAGGACCCCAGAGAACTTTTGTTTAGGTGGGTTGTTTCCATTTCTATCACCACATTAAAAATTAAAGCTGTGAAAAATCTAAAAATACATAAAGTCACTAAAAATAATAATCATAAACCTCTCCAGGGGAAACATAACACATTTTAATGAAATTACTGTGATGAGTTGTAGACTCTACTGGGGTTGATGGCTGGATCCACTTCCTAGCTCACTCAAGTACCTGTTGGCTGGGGACTTTAATTCCTCTCCACGTGGCTCTTTCCCGGAGCAGATCCTCTTGAGAATGTGTCACCAAGGTGATAGTCACAGAGTCTTTTATTAGCAGTCTCAGAAGTGATCTATGTTGTTTTCATATTGGCCACTCGTGTGGGAAGGGGCTTCTTCCACTCTGTGCTGTTATTGGCCAGGGTGGAAAGGGCTACACAAAGGTGTGACTACTTGGAAGCTGAGACCATCCAAGGGCCACCCCGGAGACTGGCTACCACGGGACTTTGGCATTTATTTCCATGAATGAGACTGGCTGTGATTTTTTTCTTTTTAAAAAAATTTTTAATATTTGTCTTTATTTATTTGGCTGCTCTGGGCCTTAGTTGTGACATTAGAGCTCTTCGTTGTGGCGTGTGGAATCTCATTCCCCCACCAGGGATCAGACTTGGGTCTCCTGCATTGGGAGCTTAGAGTGTTAGCCACGGGACCACCAGGAAAGTCCCTCTTTCTTTCTTATATCTTTGTAAGGTTTTGGTGAAATGTTTATGCTGTTTCGTAAGTTGTAGTTTTTTTCCTATTCTTTGAAAGAATAGGAAATCAACTGAAAATGAAAATTTGGCTTATAGAATTATTCAGAGATTTCTGTTTTCCCTTGTGTCAGTTTTTTAAAGCTGTATTCTTCTCTAAGAACTTGCTTATTTCCTCTAAGTTTTCAAGTTTAGTGTCACAAAATTACTCATTTATATTCTCTTATTACTTCCTTAATAGCCTTAAGTTTCAAGTGATGCTCCCGACATTCCTGACTTTGGTGATTTGTGCCTGCTCTTGTTTTTATCTTAATTCCTTTCAATGAGCTTA